AAGAATCCACCTGCCAATGCAGGGGACATGAGTTCGAGCCCTGGTCCAGGAAGATCCCACATGCCGTGCAGCAACTAAGCCTGTGTGCCACAACTACTGAGCCTATGCTCTGGGCGGGGGGAGCCACAACTACTGAAACCCGCGCACCTAGAGCCCGTCCTCCACAACAAGAGAAGCTACCGCAATGAGAATCCTGCACACTGCAACAAAGAGTAGCCACTACTCGCGGCTACTAAAAAAAAAATTTTATAAATCAAGAATGAGTGAGAGGATGGGACTTCCCTGGTGGCACAGTGCTTAAGAATCCGCCTGCCAATGCAGGGGACACTGATTCGAGCCCTGGTCCGGGAAGATCCCACGTGCCGCAGAGCAACTAAGCCCATGCGCCACAACTACTAAGCCTGCGCTCTAGAGCCTGCGAGCCACAACTACTGAGCCCGCGTGCCTAGAGCCCGTGCTCAGCAACAAGAGAAGCCACCACAATGAGAAGCCCGCGCACTGCAACGAACAGTAGCCCCCGCTTGCCGCAACTAGAGAAAGCCCTCGCGCAGCAACAAAGACCCAATGCAGCCAAAAATAAATAAATTACTAAAAAAACCCAACACAGGTGGCAACGCTGATATATAGACAATATATCACTGATTAATTTTAATATTTTAATTCACAAAGCAATGATGTATTTTACTCAGATACGAATGTGTGTACACAAATGCATTTAAAAAGAGTAGGACAAAAAGGTAAGTGTAAAAAAGGTAACGGTGGTTACCTCTAAGAAAGGGGATGGAATTGGGGATGTTATCAAAGACAACATTACCCTTATTCTGATGTTTTAATTTTCTACAAGAATTAATTCCTATATAACGTGTAATTAAACATCAATTTTAAAAACTAGCACTCTCCCTGCCATAATTTCCCCTCTAATACTCTTATGCAGTTGGCCTGATCTAGTTAAAGTTCACAAAGATAAAGAGGCAAGTGGTATGATTTTTTGGTCATTCTTGCTGACAAGACATTCAGAATTCTTTCACCACCACCACCACCACTTTACTCATTACCCAGCTCATTCCCATGGTTCTACATCAAAATACTCACTGGTGGAAGGAGTGAGGATCGTCCACATCGTGGCCATCTGGGGCCAAAGGGTTGGAGAACGGCTCGCCTAAGAAAAGGAATTGATGTTAATTTAATCAATCTCTTTAGAGTCAGATCTTGTGCAAAAGTTGGGGATCTAGTAGTGAACAATACAGACGTCTTTTCCTGTCCAGTTGAGTTGCTCACAATCTAGTGAGGAAGAAAGGCAAGAACATCGACACTGACAATACAGGGTAACAAGTGCTGAAGCAGGAAAATACAAGGAGCTATGGGAGCTCAGAGGAGGGGGCCCCTAAACCAGCGCTGAAGGATCAGCAAAAACTTCTTGAAGATGACACCTAGGATACTACGCGAAAGATAACCAAATTTTTGGTTACGGAACCAAAAATTAAGTGACGGGGTCTGGGGGTGGTTCACAGATTAATCTCATCTGTCGTGGGTTGGGGCAAGGACAAGATTGAGGGACAGTCTGGAGCTTCCCGGCCTCGCTCGGGGCCCAACTGCTTCGCCAGACTACAAGCGTCACACTCCCGGCCCGCCTCCACCCTCGCGCACACAGCCGGCTTAAATTCTGAGGCCAAAATAACGCGCCAAGTGTCCCGAGTCCCGCGGGGAAGAAAGGGCAGATGACCCGAGCCTTACTATCTCGCTCCGGCATTTCGTCCTCGGTATTTCAACCCCAGCAACGACCGAGGACCCTACAACAACACGGCAGCGACAGGCGACTCCCCACAATGCACCTCAGGAGTCCACCCACAGTGCCTTTCGTGCCGCAGCTTTTCCGCCGCAACGGAGGGCGGAGAAATCCGAGTAACAGTTGACCTGCAATGCTTTTATGGCATTGGCTAAACTTGGCCCCGCCCCTTACGTCAGTCAACCTATCCCGGGGCTGGAGCGTCCGCGGCTGGTCTGATAGGATCACTTGGCCGGAAGGTCTAGGGCGGATGATTTGGTACTATCCCAGATGGCGGCTGCCGCAGCGAGTAGGGGCCTCCGTGCCAAATTGGGCCTCCGTGAGATTCGTATCCACTTATGCCAGCGCTCGCCCGGAAGCCTGGGAGTCAGGTGAGGCGCGGCCCGGTGAGGCGGGCGGGCTTCGGGGCGCTGGGGTCACAATCTCGACCTCCCGGGTGTTTGAGGAGGCCCGCGCCCACACCGCACGCACGGTGCTCTCTTCGGCCTTGCAGGGACTTCATCGAGAAACGCTATGTGGAGCTGAAGAAGGCGAACCCTGACCTGCCCATCCTAATCCGCGAGTGCTCCGATGTGCAGCCCAAGCTCTGGGCCCGCTACGGTGAGCACAGGACGCCGGGGACCTGAGACCCCGGTGGAGTAACAAGGGTTCGAGAAAAGAAAGGGCCGCCCAAGGTCACACAGAAACCTGTTCAGGGACTGAATTCGGACTTGCTGTTGACCTCGTTGCAGATAAGGAAATATACATTCGCAGGGTTACAGGATGCTTTGTGTCCCAATAACATCTATGTGGAGGCGGGCCCTGTCCTGCATAGGTATCAGGAGCTGTCGTCTTTGTAATTCAGAACAGGCCTCAGATAGGGGAGAAGGGATGCTGGTCCAGTCCATCATTGTAGATCCTTCCAAATTGTGTGGTCAGTGCCGGTCCAGACAGAGTGTGAGCATCTCAATAGTAAAAACCTAAAATAATGAGTGTGTTGAGCACTTACTGCTAGGCCCTGTGCTGAGTGCTTTCCTGCCTAAATCTCATTTAACCTTAATTAATATGAGGGATGGATTCTTCGGTTATTCAGCTAGTATGTATAACGGGGTTGAGCTTCTACCTCTGTTCGCCCTTCCTAGACTGCACTTCTGCCAGACTTCCATGGCGGGCTTTTTGTTATAATTCAGCCTCCTCAAAAAGGCATTCCCTGGCCAGTTATGTAACATTGCCCCTTTACCCTATACAATTTTACCACATACTTATTAATATATTACCTATGTGTCATTCATTTTACCACAATTTGAAAATTACTGTCATGTTGCGTGACACATAGGAACACACAATAAATATTTATACTTACTGAATAATGGTATTTTTAATCACGGCTTTTAACTAAACCTCGCCCTAGGAATGTCTGGAGGACGGCAGGGAGTCACACCCAAGGCAGATCCATTATAACAGTGGACAACTGCAGTATGCCGTGCACTAAACATTGTTTGGAGGAGGAACAAAGGTTTTCCTCCCAAAAGCCAGTAGACTAGAGAAGGAGATGGACACAAATAACTTTAGTTTAGATGAACAATGGGAGCCACTGAATGGGCACCATTAAAAGGCAGGCTCATGTAATACATTGCTCACAATGGCTAATAATAAATGCCTACCATGCCCCTTAAAACATTCCTGAAACACTTTCCTTCCCATTATGACCACCCAGAATCAGCCGAAATTCTACTACCCTTCCTATCCTACCAAGACTATAAGTTGAAGACAGAGACCTTTTATTACACTTTGGTAGCCCGTACAGTGCAGAGCGGATACTTAATCACTTCCCTCTCTCTTCAGCATTTGGCCAAGAGAAGAACGTCTCTTTGAACAACTTCAGTGCTGACCAGGTAACCAGAGCCCTGGAGAATGTGCTACGTGGAAAAGCCTGAAACCTCCACTGAGGATTAAGAGCAAGAGCCCCAGAGCCTGAGCTCTGCTGGACTGAGTACAATGTGGAGAAATGTGTTCTGCTGCTCTTTATAAAGCTTGTGCTGAAAATGCTGTCTCAGGATGTTCTGTTTCTCATTCCACCGACTACCCCTTATTGTGCAATCAAATGAGGCAAAGCAGCTGAATATAAAAATAAAACTTATTTTATTCCATCCCATCAAAAGCCACCAGCTGCTGAAGAAAAAAAAAAATAAGAAAAAAGGAGATTCTATGGACCCAGATTAAGTAGGCCACACTGGGTTCCCTCTGGTCCTCCCGCCTGGACACTGCTGGGTAAAACAGGAGGAGCTGGGATCCAGAGATCTTGACTTAGGCTTCGGTGTGGGAGCAGAGGGCATGATGTCATTATGGTTCTAAACCTCCCAAAGGGGCTCTGGCTGGGGAGTGGGGGAGATGGGGAGTGGAGTACATGACTTTGAGAAGTCAAGTCACCCATGAAGAGCTGTCTGCTGGAGAGCATGCACACGATCCTGGAGTTGTGCCACCTCCTCATGCCTTTGTAGGGCCTGCAGCCCTGACTGCTGCAAGAAGGCCTGGGCAGCCTGAGAGCAGGGAAGAAAAGGATTCAACACTGGGTCCCTCAGTGCTAACATGCAATTACCACAGCCTTATGGGTTAGCCCACCTCTTCTTGGAAGAATGCATTCCCAAAAAGAGTATGGAAGTTCGGACCTGGAGCCCACATAGGCTAGCCAGGCCCAGAGCAATGACTAAAGTTACTGGAAGGAAAGGGGCCATGGTGAGACCAGCGGCTTCAGAACAGAAGGATTGGGGACTAAGGCCAGAAACCCACCCCTGGCTGATAGAGGAACAGCAGTTGCAGCAGCTCCAAACTCTGGCCTACTACTTCAGTGTCAGAGAAGGCCAACGTGTCCAGCAAGGAGGAGAGCAGGGGCCCTGGCCATAGACGCTGACAGTAAGCAGGACCTTTCTCTGCAACGTTGCACAGAACCGTGAGCACCTGCAGACAAATATATGTACACAGTCCCCACAAACGATGAAAACCAAAGATTTTAACGATAGCCTCTGTGGAATGCTGACCACATGCCCAGGCACTGTGCCAAGCAGTTTTATATGCATATTCTGTAATCTCAGCCACCCTCAGGTAGGATGACTATTCCCAATTATAAATGAGGAAACTGAAGCCTAAGGTGGTTAGTTGATTTGCCCAAGGTTAGTTACTAGTAAATTACAGTTTAGGGACTCAACACCTAGACTGTCTGGTCTATGACTGATGGTCTGGCCCTGAAGCCATCCATACCACACCACCTGCCAGCTCTCAGCTAGGGGTACTTCTGAGGGCTCAGGGCTGCTCCCACTGTTTACACTTTGGCCACCAGGCCTTGGACTCAAGTGACCCCAATACCTACCAACACGCTCACCACATTAGATACAGACAACAAGTGCAAGAGGGGCTCAATCAGATCCAGGGAGAGCAAGGAGGTGCAGAAACTAGGACTGTTTGCTGGAAGGGAAAATGTCAGGGTGAAGTTCCTCCAACTGGGGTGTGAAACCAACCCACTCCCAATCCTACCCACGTCAGCCGAGGCCATGAGGAATTATTCCCAGTATCTAAAGGTCTAGGCCTAGGCAGATTATGGTGCTTACCAGTGAGGTTGTTAAGGAGCCAGAGGCCCTCAGGAAGCAGGCTGGGCTGTTTCTGGAGGAGGAACTGCAGAAGGATAAATAAGGCTGCCACAACACGCTCATCTCGGAGCTGCAGTTGCCCTCCCACAGCCTCTGCTGCTGCCTCTGTTAGCAAGTTGCTTAGACACCGAAGCACAGGGCATGCCAGCTGCAAAGATGAGTTAGGGTTCAGGTTTAAGGAGGAAGGGGCAACCTGCACACTGGAGCAGGAGCTGAGTAAAAAGAAAGGTCACCCAGAGGTTGACCTGTTCTCTTCACCTACCAGCTCCAGTCCTGCATCCTCAGTTCTCTGGACAGCCCCAGCCAAGTCCAACAGCAGCAGCCCCAGGGTGGACAGAGCACCCTGGGTGATGAGCAGGGCATTGTTGACCTGGCTGGGCAATAGAAAGCAAGTAGTCACTACTCGGTCAATTCTACCTTTAACGTGGCAAATGGCCTAGGTCTGTGGGTTTCCTGAGCTCCCAAGAAGAGAGGACCATAAAACAAGGAAAACTCACCCCAACAATTCCAGAAGCCAAAGTTCAAAAACCTGAGTGTCATGGAAGGAAGCCCCAGGGGAGGTTTGTGGCACTTCCCCAATTGGCCTATTACCTGCAGATGATGTAGTGAAGGCACCAGGCAAACTCCACAGCTACTCCAAGGTTTAGCTTTGGGCCAGGTTGCAACAGTTGCAGCATATGTTGTGGGAGAGTGGAGCCCAGGACAGAGCTGTCAGTAGAAGCAGAGCTGTGAGTAGGAACCACAGAAGGCAAGATGCCAGTCACTCTTCCCAAACCCTGAGAGCAGGTGGGAAAGCGTCCAAACCCAAAGCTCTTCCCAGTCAGGCACATGGGGTTGAAATGTGCAACAGCTTTGGAAACAAGACTCGATCAGGCATCAAGGGCTACACTACCAAGTAGGTCACACCTGCCTACACATCTGGAGACTCAATTTTACTTACGGGATGATCTTCTCTGGAGCTTCCTTAGCCTGAAGAAGCTGGGACAAGGCATAACCAAGAGCTTCCAGCACAGTCAGATGGGGAGACTAGAAGCAGACAGAGTAGGGATCTGACTCTGGAACCTAGGCCATAAGATTTCCTGAGACTTTCAACCCCTTAGCACAGGGCAGAGGCTGGAGCTGCCTACCCAAAGCAGGTGGGGCATGTGGAGAGACGTGAGGGGAGGGGTGCCCAGAGAGGAAGCAAGGAGGTGGACACTTACCTGGATGCAGGCAGCCAAGGCCGGAACAATGCCCTGTGGCAGGAGCTGCCTTCTCACAGCCTCACTCTCCACAATCAGGTTACCCAGTGTATACAGACAGAGCTCCTGAGAGCGGGACAACAAAAGCACTGGGCTTGGCCTGTCTCAGGCCGGGGTGGGGTAGGGGTGGGAGTGGGAAAGCTGGAGCATACCTGTCCTTGAGGATCGGGGCACAGGGGAATGGGAGATGATGGGTGTGTGTATGGCTGGGGGCATCAGGAGAAACAGGTTTTCCTCTTTTGCCTACCTGCCAGCTCAAACTGGACCCAAAAGCACAATTTTTAAATCCAAACCAAGAACAAGGTAGGAAGGGGCAGGGCTTACTATAAAGTCTGAGCTGTGACCGGAGAGGTAGGTGAGAAGGTAGGAAGTGGCTGGCAGGCAGGCCTCAACTACTGCAGACTGCTCAGAGTGAGAGAGCTCATGAAGGCACCGAGCCGCCTCAAGCTGCAGCAGGGCCTGGTTGCTGGTCAGGAGCCCGACTAGGGTCCGAATGCTGCCCTCCAGCCTACATGAGTGAGCACCAGAGCCCTGCTCAGCCAGTGGCCCATCCCCCCCACACTCCTGTCCACCCCTCAGAGACCCAGCCACACACTCACACCACCCGCACTGACCTGATGAAGGTCTGTTGCGTCTCAGGGCGCTGCAAGCCTCGCCGAAGGCTGACCAGAGCCCCCTCTCTCTCCTTTTCCTCTGTCCCCCGCTGGGCTAACTGCAGGAACTGCTGGATCTGGAGCCCAGGGCAGGGAAAAGAGAGGTTGCAACACATAGTTGCCAGAAAGCAAGGCATGAGTTCTGCTCTGCCCACTTCAGTTGTGAGCCCTTCAGTATGGCACTATCCCTAGAACTCGTCATTCACAGTAATATGGCCAATAAGTGCCAACCTTGCAGTAGAGTGGACAGAAGAGGGAATCAGAACTGGGTTTAATACAAGCCCTGCCACTTACGCTACAGGGGACTAAACCCCAGTTTCTCACCTGAAAAAAGAGCATAACATCTACTCTGCCTTTTACTGTGTTATTTCAAGGATAACATTTAAACCTCTCAGCCTGACACAACCTATCCCTCTAGCGATTCTCCCCATGCAACCGACACTGCAACAACACTGCGCAGCACATGACGTGCTTTTTAATGCTTCCAAGCTTTCGCATAATCTATTCTTTCTGCCTGGAATACCCACCCTCCCCAGGTCCTCCACTTCCTTTAGATTTCTGCTCTCACTGCCTCTGGGAAGTTAGCTCTTTCTGGCTCCCTTTGGAAGACTCAGGGGTTTCTATTGTGCCTCATGTTTCCTTCATGACAGGTAGGAGCACATCTGTCTCCTTCAATGGGTTGTGAACACGTCAAAGAAAGGGACTCTCTTCATCTTTCTGTACCTCAGTACCCAGCATAGGTGACTTGGTATAAAGTAAGCACACAATGAATAAATGGTATAACCTAGGTATAAGTGCTTTGTAAACTATATATGTAAACATAATATAAACAGGGGATGCCCAATGCTTGCTGAATGAATAAATGAGCTGAAAGAAATTCTTTTGTTCACTTATTCCATAAATACTGAGCATCTACTATATGCCAGATACTGTATAGGCATCTGAGTTTTCAATGATGACAAATAAGATAAGGTCCAGGTTCCTGTGGATTTAAAGTCTAGTTGGAGAAACGGTAACAAGCAAACAATTAGTATGATTAATACTCTGCAGACCCACTTTAGATGCAGCAAATGCAAAGGCCTTGAGACGGGAAAGAGCCTGGTATATTGTTCCAAGGACTGAAAAGAGGACAATTTGTCTGAAATGAGTGAACTGATAAGGTTGGAAGTAGCAGAGGTTAGACCATGCTGGACTGTGTAGATCACAGCAAGGATTTTGGTCTCTGTGTTTTTAAAAGACGCATCTGACTGATGTATAGAGAATTAACTTGAGGAGGCAAAATTTCTGCAGATGACCTGTTAGGAGGCTGCTGTTAAGTATTCAGAGAAGAGGGTGGTGGCGATCGTGATGGCAACGCCATTTAAAAGACTCCACAGCTCTTTAGGAGGTAAAAAAAAAAAAGGGGGAGGTGGGCTAGGACTTGATGATGTATTGATGTGGGGATGAGGGATAGAGTTGTCGAGGATGATTCCCTGGTTTCCGGCTTGGCCCACTAGACGGAAAGAGGTGTTGAAGGGACCGCGTTCAGGTTTGGGGGCGGACCTCGAGTACAAGACAAGGTATTTGCCGCTACCTGGTGTGGATCTCACCAAGCACCCTGCCCCCTCACCTCGGCTTCCCCGAAGATCATGGCCACACATCCCTCCTCGGCTTCCTCCAAGGCTTCGCCTCTCAGCAGCCTCTTGCTGACCAGCTGCTGCTCTCTCCGTGCCTTCCGCAGTGCTGGGAGCAAAGGAGCCGCTTGATCATGGGAGGGGCACCCAGGACCCAGAACCCATCTCCAACCCTGGAAGCCTCCTCACCCCTGCTCCGACCGCCATACTCTCATCCTCCCGTGTTCCCTCGCCTGCCCGCACCTGCCTCCCGCTCCCGCCGGCGGCACCGCAGCTCCTCCACCCCGCAGCATAACGGCTTGAGGCGGCCCCGCTGTCGGCTCCACATGCTGGAACTGAGTAAACCTGCATCAGAGAGCACACAACGGGGCCCAGGAGTCTAGAAGATGGTACGGACTGCGCAGCCGCAGCGTAGAGCGGAAGGGGATGTGCCAGTGGGCGGGGCATGACGTGAAGTGAAGGAGGGGCGGAACTCGGGGAAGCGACCACGGGAGGGACGGGGCGGGGCGGAGCGAAGGTTAGAGGAGGAGTGGGATCTCTAGACGAGTGAATTCCAGATAGCTGCCCTTGCCTTGGCCTCCGGCTTCTCGGCTTCCGATCTAGTAAAGGAAGTAACTCAACCTCGACCCGGACAGCCCCAGGCCCCTAGCGTCACCTTCCACTCAGCAAACACAACCTACCCATCCCTAACAGATTCTAAACGAACATTCAAAACTACCCCGAGTTCTAGGAAGATGTCGAAAACCATTTCACTAATAACACGGCTCTCAGTGATGAAAGCTGGCTAACCCCTGGAAGTGCATTACCTTATTGAATGTTCGCCATGACAATTATCCTCATTTTTCAGGTGAGAAAAAGGAAACAAATTCAATTATGTGTCACTGTTCTGGGTAAAAGTGAACCCCAAGAGCTTCCCTGGTGGCGCAGTGGTTAAGAATTCGCCTGCCAATGCAGGGGACACGGGTTCGAGCCCTGGGCCAGGAAGATCCCACATGCCAGGGAGCAACAAAGCCCGTGCGCCACAACTACTGAGGCTGCGCTCGTGAAGCAGAGAGGCACAACTACTGAGCCCACGTGCCACAGCTGCTGAAGCCTGCGCACCTAGAGCTCGTGCTCCGCAGCAAGAGAAACCACTGCAATGAGAAGCCCGCACACCGCAACAAAGAGTAGCCCCTGCTCGCTGCAATTAGAAAAAGCCCGTGCACAGCAACGAAGACCCAACGCAGCCAAAAATAAGTAAATTTATTAAATAAATAAAAAATTTAAAACTACTTTAAAAAAGTGAATGGCATTATTTTCAGGATAAAGTAGTTCTTTCATCAAATTTTGAGCGCCACTAATCTAGTAGGGGAAACTGGTGAATTAAAAACTGTGCTCCAGGGGCTTCCCTGGTGGTGCAGTGGTTGAGAGTCTGCCTGCCGATGCAGGGGACACTGGTTTGTGCCCCGGTCCGGGAAGATCCCACATGCCGCGGAGCGGCTGGGCCCGTGAGCCATGGCCGCTGGGCCTGCGCGTCCTGAGCCTGTGCTCCGCAACGGGAGAGGCCACAACAGTGAGAGGCCCGCGTACCGCAAAAACAACAACTGTGCTCCAGGGAATTCCCTGGCGTCTAGTGCTTAGGACTCGGTACTTTCACTACCATGGCCCCAGGTTCAATACGTGGTCGGAGAACTAGATCCCGCAAGCCGCCCGCCGCAGCCAAACAAACAAAAACTGTGTTCCATACCCTCAAAATCTGAATTGTGGCCAACTAAGCCCTACATGGTCTAATCCCTGCATACCTCTCCAGCCTTACCTTACTCATCTCTCCTAGGATCTTTGTTCCCTGAATAAGCCCTGCACTTTTTCTCTTCTGGGCTTTTGCACAGGCTGTTCCACTGCCTAGAGCCCTGTCTCTGCCACCCCACCCTCACTACAACCAGCACTCTTCCCTTAATTAACACTGTCCTCGAGATCTCCAGTGTCCCCTACTCAGAACTACTGGACCAGTGCCCCCGTTATGAGAGCATATAGCACCGTACACTTCTCCTTCATAACCCTTTTCACAGCTGACATTAAGTTACAGTGTAACTGTTTGACGTTGTCTCCTCCCAAACCGCCTTCACAGCAACAAGAGAGTAGAGTCCTGGTAGCACTTAAGAACTTTTATTGAGGGAATTCCCTGGTGGTCCAGGGGTTAGGACTCCACGCTTTCAGTGCCAAGGGCCCGCGTTCAATCCCTCGTGGGGGAATAAAGATCCTTCAAGCTGTGAGGCCAGAAAAAAAAAAAAGTTAAAAAGAATTCTCACTGAGGCCTCTAATCTTTAGAAAGCTACTACTTAGGGCTTCCCTGGTGGCGCAGTGATTGACAGTCTGCCTGCTGATGCAGGGGACATGGGTTCGTGCCCCAGTCCGGGAAGATCCCACATGCCGCAGAGCGGCTGGGCCCGTGACCATAGCTGCTGAGCCTGCGCTTCCGGAGCCTGTGCTCCACAACGGGAGAGGCCACAACAGTGAGAGGCCCGCGTACTGCACAAAAAAAGAAAAAATGAAAAGAAAGAAAGCTACTACTTAGACAAATGTGCAAGTAAGAACAAATCCAGGAATGGGAACTGTTGTTCAAACCCATTTCCTTCCCTTTAATTTAATTCCACCTCTTGGAGTCAGTTGATGAAGTCTTTGATTTCTTCCACAAAACATCTAGTTAAATATCTGCAGACCATCATCCTGTTCTCCATATCTTCTCTCCAGGTCCAGCATTCATCCAGCCTCTGGACAGCCACTTATTGAGCACCATTTATTTATTTAACTTTATTATTTTTTATTTTGGCCGTGCAGCTTGAGGAATCTTAGTTCCCCCACCAGGGATCGAACCCGTGCCCCTTGCAGTGGAAGCACAGAACCCTAACCACTGGACCACCAAGGAATTCCCTGAGCACCATTTACTAATGCACCATGCTCTGGCTGGGGATAGGATCTGGGTCTTGTCCCCTTCCTCATGGGGCATGCTGGCTTCTAACACCTACATCTTTCTCCTGGTTAGGAAGATAAGGCAAGTCCCCAGGAAAAATCTGTGCTCTTCCCAGTGTCTGCTCAAACAGTTACAGCTGCCCAAACTGTTTTTTATTGGGGGTTTTTGTTTGTTTGTTTGTTTGTTTTTGTTTTTTGCACTTATCTGCCTGGCAACTCTGTTAATCCTGCAAGAAACAGCCCCATGTTCTCTCTACTACAAGGCTAGCTGTTCCTTTCTCTAGAGCTCCCCCAAGTCCTTGTCTCCTCTGTAAGAGTCCTCTTCACTATGGACTGTAGTTCTTCCTCTGCATTTGCCTCCCGCACCTACTAGAGTACTTGAGGAACCATGTGATGGTCACATTAGCATCCCAGGGCTTGGCATTAGCGCTGGCACTTGGTTTAGACGATAGATATTTTTTGAATCAAGGTGTTAGTTGGGGACCTTTGCAGAAACATTATTGCCCCTCTTAGCTTGGACCCCTCATCCAGAGTGTCTCTCCCCTAAGGTGATGGAATTTTTAAACCATTTTTTAAAAATAGAAGTATAGTTAACTTACAATGTTGTGTAATATATATATTGGGTTGGCAAAAAGGTTCGTTCGTTTCTTTCCGTAAGATGGCTCTAGTAGCACTTAGTTGTCTTTAACTTCATTCAAAATGATTTTGTTAGATTGTATGTGACAGCTGTCATATCAGCATGCATTTTAAAAAAGAGTTATCGAAATTGGTGAATTTTTGTGTAGCCATTTTAATATTGAAGATGGAAGGAAAAAAGCAACATTTTTGGCATATTATGCCTTATTATTTTAAGAAAGGTAAAAACGCAACCGAAATGCAAAACAAGATTTGTGCAGTGTATGGAGAAGGTGCTGTGATGGATCGAACATGTCAAAAGTGGTGTGCGAAGTTTCATGCTGGAGATTTCTCACTGGACAATGCTCCACAGTCGGGTAGACCAGTTGAAGTTGGTAGCGATCAAATCGAGACATCAATTAAAAACAATCAGCTTTATACCACGCGGGAGATAGCCGACATACTCAAAATACCCAACTCAAGCGTTGAAAATCATTTGCTCCAGCTTGGTTATGTTAATCACTTTGATGTTTGGGTTCCACATAAGTTAAGTGGAGGGAAAAGAAACTTCTTGACCATATTTCCGCGCGCGATTCTCTACTTAAACGTAATGAAAACGTTCCGTTTTTAAAACAAATTGTGATGGGCGATGAAAAGTGGATACTGTTAGGTGAGCCGACGTGGGTTGTGAAAGAATTCACAGAAATATTAACAAGGGAAGAAAAGAAAGTTTTTATTCCTCCACTTTCCAAGGGAGGAAAGGGGCCAGACACATAGGGTGGCACTGGCCCCAAAGGGTGGGGTATGAATCTTTTATTAGGCTTCAAAGGGCAAGGTGCAGGAAAAGGAGGTGGGTTCATGTCTATGCTGGTCCACAGCAGTACCGGGGCTGGCTGTGTGTCTATAGGATGTGGTTTTTTGGAGAACAGACTTGCAGTCCAGTAATTTTCCAGGTCTCGGGTGTCTGAAAGAGACTTAATAGGTGCCCTTGACAGGTATTACTCCATTTTGAATCATGTTAGGTGGGTTTACAGATACTGTACAATAACATGGAATGGAAGAGATCGTGGGTCAAGTGAAATGAACACCACCAACCACACCAAAGGACGGTCTTCATCCAAAGAAGGTGATGTTGTGTATATGGTGGGATTGGAAGGGAGTCCTCTATTATGAGCTCCTTCCGGGAAACCAAATGATTAATTCCAACAAGAACTGCTCCCAATTAGACCAACTGAAAGCAGCACTCGACAAAAAGCATCCGGAACTAGTCAACAGAAAACGCATAATCTTCCGTGAGGATAACGCAAGACCGCATGTTTCTTTGATGACCAGACAAAAACTGTTACAGTTTGGCTGGGAAGTTCTGATTCATCCGCCATATTCACCACACATTCACCTTCGGATTTCCATTTATTTCGGTCTTTACAAAAATCTCTTCATGGAAAAAATTTCAGTTCCCGGAGGAATGTAAAAGGCACCTGGAATAGTTCTTTGCTCAAAAGATAAAAAGTTTTGGGAAGATAGAATTATGAAGTTGCCTGAAAAATGGCAGAAGGTAGTGGAACAAAAGGGTGAATATGTTGTTCAATAAAGTTCTTGGTGAAAATTAAAAAATATGTCTTTTATTTTTACTTAAAAACCGAAGGCACTTTTTGGCCAACCTGATAGATATATATATTCTTTTTCAGATTCTTTTCCATTATATTATAAGATCTTTTTGGCCAACCTGATAGATATATATATTCTTTTTCAGATTCTTTTCCATTATAGGTTATTATAAGATACTGAATATAGTTCCTGTGCTATACAGTAGGTTCTTGTTGTTAAGGTGATGGAATTTCCTGAGGAGCCAGGCTTCAGTGGCCTGAGTCTTCTGAATGCAGAGACTCTGATGAAGAAAATAACAATGAAGGGCTATTGTTACAACCTTAGCCGTAGAGCTGGGATTCCAAGCCTTTTTGTCTGACTGCAGAGTCAGTGTATTTCACACTGAACTATACTCGTATCTTGGTCCTCAGGGATGTCCCAGTGACATGGTCTGGCCTTTAGGCATGGCTTAGGGTATTAGAACATGCCCAACAGGACACACAGGGAGCAGTGTGGGCCGATGGGTCTTCCTTGTTTGGATTGTGGACAGATGTAGATACTTCTGGAAAAAGGGAAGTGAGAATTCAAATGTTTTTCATGTAGCTCTTTGCCCAGAAATCCAGAAGTTCAGACTTGTGAGGGCTGTTTTAAAAGCATAGCCCTTCTAAAATTGAGGGCAGTCATCAATTAGATCCCTTGAACTGTAACTTGCTCAATAAATAATATCGTGTAACCTGCCTTCACCGATCAAGCTTGCCTTAACTGTTCCTGCAAATTACATACCCTCATGTAGCTTACACAATATGTCACAAGACTCCTTTAACTGCCCCTCTGTGGATAACACCGCTGACATATGGGTTGCTATAGTAACGGTTCCTTAAGTTGATTTTCAGGAACTTAGAGTCAGCCCTTGCCAGGTTGTGTTCCAGCTGATTAAGACTGCTTGGAACCACTGACCCTCCAACTGTGCCTGTGCGAGTGTTGGATGGATGGCCTTTTGACATCAGAAGGCCAAAACTTCACCCTCAGATCATGCTAATGCCACCACTTTCTGAACATGCATCCCATGAAGAAGCATGTAACTCAGATACACCTGAGCAGAATACTGATTACCTCACCTTTTTCCTGTCCCCAATCACCTTCCCCTGTACCTCCAACCACCCTATACCCTTCACCCATAAATATCCGAAGCCCCTTGCCTTCAGGGAGGTGAATCTGAGACTTGTTCTCCCTGATCCTCACTTAGATGCCTTGTGAATAAACTCTTTCTCTGCTACAAACCAAAGCGTCTCAGTGTTTGGCTTACTGCCTGTTGGGCAAACAAACCTGGTTTGGTAACAATTCCCCACCCTCTGGGACACTTGCTTTTTTTTCTTGACAAAGCAGGTGAGTTACTAATTAATCCTCATTCAACATAGGTCCAGCTTTTCATTCCTAGGGCATAGGAATTGTGCTGGGGAAAGGGCAGGAGATAGCTAGGTACAAGTGGGAAAATTATACTTAGGAATATCTCATTTCTCAAATTTCAGGGCAGGGAAGTGGAAACTCAGAGAGCGAGGGACTTGGCCAATGTGTCTCTGTTAAACACATAGACTTCTCTACTTTTAAGAGAGCTATCACTTTAAAAAATTGTGAGGGGACTTCCCTGGCGGTCCAGTGGTTAAGACTCTGCTCTTCCAATGCAGGGAGCACAGGTTTGATCCCTGGTCGGGGAACTAAGATGCCACATGTTGTGCGGCCAAAAATAAAAAAGCTATTATTTCTTAATAAACAAATTTAAAGAACAAGTCAGCAAAAAAAAGGAGGGCGGGGGGAGCTATTCCTCAGACCAACTTCCTTCTCTTGAACCTAATTCTAGCCCTTGGAGTCAATAGATGAAGTTTGCAATCTCTTCCACAAAATATCCAGTTAAATACCTTAGGATATTCAGGGAGTTGGACTTGGGTGACAGGAGGTTAACAGTAATTACCAAGACTAGGGAAAATTAAGGAACTACCGGGGTTGAGTCACTGGGCTATAGGCAGGAGACGTGAGAGTCCTGGCCTGAGGCAGTGGGGATCTTCCTTTCCCCATCCAAGGCTGGGGGCGCCTCAGCCATCAGGGCACTGCCTGAGGCAGAGGGGCCCTAGACACCTTGCAAGATACTTCCTGTTATGACTCCTCTCCTGGCAACATCATTCACTGCAAAATTTCCTAGAACAGCTGATGGGGTGGTTGGGAGGAAGAAAGGAGGGGAGTGACAGGGTTCAAAGAGGAAGGAACGGAGTGACATCCCAGGGTTACATAAACTTTCAGAGGCTGCCAGAGGGTAAGGACAGATAGGTTTGTGGAACTTGGAAGCCGACGAGAGCCGCTGTAAAGGAAAGAAGCCACAGCCCATCCCAGAGCCAGGCGGAGAGGCAGAGGTTCTGAGGACCTATCGACCATGGTGAGTGTATGCTCTTGGGGCCGAAGGAGGGCTACTCGGGGAACCTTAGGGACCGGCAGGATCCGCCCTGACCTCCGCTGTCTTCGCAGGTGTGCGTGCCCTGTCTGCTGCTGCTCCTGCTGCCACTGCTACGTGTGTCTGCGGCCACACCAGAGCCCTGCGAGCTGGACGAAGAAGATTTCCGCTGCGTCTGCAACTTCACGGATCCGAAGCCTGACTGGTCTAGCGCCATGCAGTGTATGGTTGCTGTCGAGGTGGAGATCCGTGGCGGCGGCCGCAGCCTGGAAGAGTTTCTAAAGAGCGCCGACGCCGACTTGAAGCGGTACGCTGACACGATCAAGGCTCTGCGCTGGCGGCGGCTCACGTTGGGCGCTGCCCAGGTTCCTGCTCTGCTTCTGGTCGCCCTTCTGCGTGTGCTCGGTTACTCCCGCCTCAAGGAACTGACGTTTGAGGACCTGGAGGTAACCGGCCAGATGCCGCCGCCGCCTCTGGAAGCCACTGGGCCTGCGCTCTCCACCCTCAGTCTCCGTAACGTGTCGTGGGCAACTGGAGGTGCCTGGCTCGGCGAACTGCAGCAGTGGCTCCAGCCTGGTCTCAGGGTACTGAACATCGCGCAAGCACACTCGCTTGCCTTTGCCTGCGCACAGCTCCCCACCTTCCAGGCCCTCACCAGCCTAGACCTGTCTGACAATCCTGGACTCGGCGAGCGCGGGCTGATTGCGGCTCTCTGTCCGCACAAGTTCCCGGCCCTCCAAGGTCTAGCGCTACGCAACGCGGGGATGGAGACGCTCAGCAGCGTGTGCGCTGCGCTGGCGGCGGCGAGTGTGCAACCCCACCGACTAGACCTCAGCCACAGCTCGCTGCGCGCCACCGCCCCGGGCGCTACCTCGTGTGTCTGGCCCAGCGCACTGAGCTCTCTCAACTTGTCGTTCGCGGGGCTGGAGCAAGTGCCTAAAGGACTGCCGCCCAAACTCAGCGTGCTTGATCTCAGCTGCAACAGGCTAAGCAGGGCGCCGCGGCCAGACGAGCTGCCCGAGGTAAATAACCTGACACTGGACGGGAATCCCTTTCTGGACACTGGAGCCCTCAAGCACCAAGAAGACCTGAAGAGTCCCGGCGTGGTCCCAGTCTGTGTACGTTCCCCCTTGACCATGGCGGTGTCAGGAGCCCTGGCAGTGCTTCAGGGAGCCGGGGCCTTTGCCTAAGGCCCAGGGGAGAAGGGGGAGAGGAATTGATCGGCTCAGATTGTCCTGGCCCTGGGAGAGCCTCGTCAGGACATCTCAACCAACCAACCCTCTGCTCCATCTTCGTTAAAATCTTAAACAGCGGGTCCGTGACACTCACTCAACAGACATTTACTGGGCACATTGCTGGATAGCGAATCCATTATACTTAAACTTTCTTCATCCTAACTCCCTAGAAACCATACCTGCCCTTACTTAGAAAAGAACTACAGGGGCAGAAAGGGCAGGGAAAAGTCGCCTGTCTAGGGCTGTATGGGAGAACCAAGGGTTTCTGCCCAATGCGGGCTTTCTGAACAGATTACTGGCACCTGTTAAAGGATGTCTGAATGGTAAACATGCCTAGGAGGATACAGAATGTTTCCTCTCTGGTGCATTTTCCAAGAGTCAGCTTCTCCCTTTCCAAGGTAATAAAACCCAGAGCCATTTGCTTATTCTCACTCTCTTTTTTTCCTCCAACCCCCAGTGAGGAGAGACGGCTATGCCACTTGTTCTACGTAAGCTCTGAGTTTTATAATTTCAGGGTTCCTCTCCTGTAGCGTACAGCCCTTCTGCACACACAGGTACACTGGCTTTCGCTGTGTCATGTAATGGGGAGTTTGGGGTTGGGGAACTGATACAAGATGCTGTCATTTAACAGCCTGTCTCTGAACCAGAGATCTTGTGACTATGTTAGTATATGTGTGTATATTCGTTCTTTGATTTGCAAACAGGATAACACCTTAGACCCTTCACAGCTTCTCAGACCCCTGCACAGGGCAATTAATAGTATACATCCTCTGAACCACAATATCTCAGTGACCCAGGACGTCAGCCAAGCAGCCAAGAGGTACTGTTCCTTCTAAGGGTCCCTTCTTCATTACAACAAGGAGGCAGCCACACCCAGCAGAGATCTAGGTATCTGCCTCCAGGGGGACCTCAAGAGGAATGGGAGGAGGCATGTAAACATAGCCCTCCAGCCTGCCTCCCTCCAGTGTCCAGGACCACACAGATAGGAATGGAGAATGCAAATTAACATTGATGGGAGAGTCACACAGGTTATCAGACCATGGGCTCAAAGAGTCTTAGGGGCAGCTAAATAAACTGCCAATCTTTGTGGCTGAACCACACTGACTCCATTTTGTCACCTCCTTCCTAGGACCACAGTCTTGCCCCTCCCCTTTCTGCACAACTGAGCTTTAGTCTACTCACAAGGAGTGCACCCAAGCCAGATTACTTTCCTAACAACTTTTACTCTTGCCTTCATGTGATATGAAAACTGGAACAATGCCTTTTTTGACACAGATGGTTAATGGACATGAGACACCCCCAGGAGGAAAAAGCCCCGGTTCCCTTGGATGCAGATGTGCATCTTACTTGGTAGTCAAATTCTGTTTTTCGCTTTGGCCCCTTTAAATCCAAGGTATCCCCTTCGCAGAGTGCCGCTGTGAATGTCTCTGGATCCTAGCTGTATGTAAGTTCACAATACGCATTATGTAATATGGCTGTATGTCAGTACCCACAATAAACTTCAAAATTGCACTTTATGGAGTTGCCTGCTTTGTTTCTTGGTCTCAAAGTTCTTTCTCAGTTTGGTGGATATTATTCAATATCTCTGCCTCCCAACACTTTTGCATGTGGATAGACAGTTTTCCCATTACCATTTTTTGAAAAGATATTGAATGGTCTTGGTATCCTTGTCGAAAATCATTTGACCATATATGTGAGGTTTTATTTCTGGGCTCTCTATTCAATTCTATTGGACCATATATCTGTTTTGTTTTGTTTTGTTTTTTTGCGGTACGCGGGCCTCTCACTGCTGTGGCCTCTCCCGTTGCGGAGCACAGGCTGCGCACGCGCAGGCTCAGCGGCCATGGCTCACGGACCCAGCCACTCCACGGCACGTGGGATGTTCCCGGACCGGGGCACGAACCCGCGTCCTCTGCATCAGCAGGCGGACTCTCAACCACTGCACCACCAGGGAAGCCCCATATATCTGTTTTTATGCCAGTACCACACTGTTGTGGTTACTGTAGGTTTGTAATAGGTTATGAAATCAGGAAGTGTGAGATCTCCAATTTTATTCTTTTTTTCAAGATTGTTTTGGCTCTTTGGGGTCCCTTGAGATTCCATATGAATCTTAGGATGGATTTTTCTATCTCTGCAAAAAATGCCATTAGATTTTGACAGGGATTTAATTAAATCTGTAGCTTGCCTTGGGGAGTGTTGATATCCTAATAATATTGTCTTCCAATCCATGAATATGGGATGATTTTCCATTTACTTGTGTCTTCTTTAATTCTTTCAGCAATTTTTGTAGTTTTCATTGTAAGTCTTTCATCTCTTCAGTTAATTTCTAAGTACTTTATTTTTTGATGCTATTGTAAATGGAATTGTTTTTCTTAATTTCCTTTCCAGACTGTTCATTGTTAGTGTATAGAAACTGCTGAACTGAAACAAATAGACTGCCAGATAGTTCTCCTGCAAAGACAGGTTTCTTTGGGATCAGCAGAGAATTGCAATTCAGGGGTCTGCAACCACGGTGAGCTATCAATACATGCAAGTTTCTGTATGGCAAAGGTAGGAGAACACTTTTATACAGAGGAAAAGGAAGGTGGGAGGGCTCCTTGCCAGTAAAAAAGGAGTCTTTCTTCTTCCTGTTGGGCTCTGCTAAGGTCTCAGGGCATGAAGCAGTCCCTCTGGTCTCCCAACTCTATTTAATTGAGGTTTCTGTTTATTTTTTTACAAAACACTGGATTTTGTTTGTTGGTTTTGTATGCTTCAACTTTGCTGAATTAGTTTATCAGTTCTAACAGGTTTTTTTGTGTGGAATCTTCAGGATTTTATACATATAAGATCATGTCATCTGTGAACAAAGATAATTTTACTTCTTCCTTTCCAGTCTGGATGTCTTTTGTTTCTTTTTCCTGCCTAACTTCTTTGGCTAGGATCTCCAGTACTATGTTAAATAGAAGTGACAAAAGTGGGCATCCCTGTCTTGTTTCTGATCTTAGAAAGTTTTGTCTTTCACCATGGAGTATGATTGATGTTATGTTCATAAGATAATCTTCATTAAGATGAGGGAAACAGCATGATTGTATGCAGATAGGAATAAGATATATATTTTTTCTCTTTATTCTGGTAAAAAAAAAAAATATATATATATAGTAAAATTTGCCATTTTAACCATTTTTAAGTGTAAGGTACGGTGGTGTTAATTACATTCACAGTATTGTTCAACCATCACCACAATTTCCAGAATTTTTTTGTCACCCCAAGAGAAACTCTGTACCTGTTAAGCAAATACTCTCCATTTCCCTTCCCCCTAGAGCCTGGGAACATCTAATCTACTTTCTGTCTCTATGAATTTGCCTATTCTAGATATTTAATATAAGTGGGATCATACAGTATTTGTGTCTGGTTTATTTAACTTAGTATAATGTTTTCAAGGTTCATCTATGTTGTAGCATGTGTCAGTACTTCATTGCTTTTTATGGCTGTATGATACTCCATTGTATTATAAGCTACATTTTGTTTATTCATTCATCTATCGATGGACAGTTTTTGGCTATTGTGAATGATGCTACTATGAACAGTTTAGTACACAAATCTGTTTATGTAACCCTTTTCAGTTCTTTTGCATATATACCTAGGAGAAGTATTGCTGGATCATATGGTAATTATATGTTTAATGTTTTGAAGAACCTCCAAACTCTTTTCCACAGCGGCTGCACCATGTTACATTCCCATCAGCAATGTATGAGGGTTTGGACTTCCCTGGTGGTGCAGTGGTTAAGAATCCACCTGCCAGTGCAGGGGACACGGGTTCGAGCCCTGGTCTGGGAAGATCCCACATGCCGTGGAGCAACTAAGCCTGTGCGCCACAATTGCTAACCCTGCCCTCTACAGCCCGCGAGCCACAACTACTGAGCCCCCGTGCCACAATTACTGAAGTTCACGTGCCTAGCGCCCGTGCTCTGCAACAGGAGAAGCCACTGCAATGAGAAACCCACGCTCCACAATTAAGAGTAGCCCTGGTTCGCCGCAACTAGAGAAAGCCAGAGCGCAGCAACGAAGACCCAACGCAGCCAAAAATACATTAATTAATTTTAAAAAATGTATGAGCGTTCTTATTTATCCACTTTCTCATCAACAGTTTTCTTTTTAATTACGTTACCTCTTTTTATTTTACAATACATTTCAAAAATGCCATTAAACTTGCCTTAACTGCTCTATAAGACCTGGAATCAAAGAACACTGAGAATTAGAACACACAAACATCAAGCTGTAATACCTACTTGTGCTGAACGATTACTACCAAAAGGATGTCATTTTTTAAATAAGCAGATGTGTGTCAATGCAAAATACAATACAAACTTGTTAAAACAGAACAGTAAACTTTGTTTCAATGGCTGTAGAAAGGAGGTGGTTTTGTTTTTTTTCAATGCATCTGGTCTGGCAGCAAGTTGAATTATGCATTTAAAGCAATACGTGCCCTGGGGCTTCCGTGGTGGCTCAGTGGTTAAGAATCCGCCTGCCAATGCAAGGGACCCTGGCCCGGGAAGATCCCACATGCCACGGAACAACTAAGCCCAGGCGCCACAACTACTGAACCTGAGCTCTAGAACCCATAAGCCACAACTACTGAGCCCATGTGCCACAACTACTGAAGCCTGTGTACCTAGAGCCCATTCTCTGCAACAAGAGAAGTCACTGCAATGAGAAGCCCGCCCACCACAAGGAATAGTAGTCCCCACTCGCCGCAACTAGAGAAAGCCTGTGCACAGCAACGACGACCCAACATAGCCAAAAATAGAAACAAATAAATAAATGTATATTAAAAAAAACAATACATGCCCTGAAAGTTTATATTTTCAGTTGTGTGTATCAACTGAATCAGAGCCCATTTTCTTCTTTTTATTAGAGCCATACTAGTGAGTAAGAAGTGGTACCTCGGGCTTCCCTGATGGCGCAGTGGTTGAGAGTCCACCTGCCAATGCAGGGGACATAGGTTCATGCCCCGGTCCGGGAAGATCCCATGTGCCGCGGAGCGGCTAGGCCCATGAGCCATGGCCGCTGAGCCTGTGCGTCAGGAGCCTGTGCTCCA